TTCCTATCATGACATATGAAACATGGGCAATTGACCAGAAGACATGCTACAAATTGAGGATGACCGTCAGAGGAATGGAGCGAAATCTTCTAGGGATAACTCGAAGGAATAGAAAAGCAAACAAATGGATCGGACTGACCTTCCAGATATTGTGGAAAAAGTGCACATCAGGAAGTGGACTTGGACCGGACATGTAATCAGGAGGAATGGATTAACATGGACCAGACAGTTTATGGATTGGTATCCAAGAGAGCACGTGAGGAAGAGAGGAGGCCCGCCGACAGACTGGGACAAGGAGATGAAGAAGACCTGCATCAGAGAGGAAAGAATGGAAAAGGATGGGAAAGGTTCATTGCCTATTGTGGTTACAAGAAAGCTAAGTAAAAAAAAAAATGAAAGAAATCGAATTCAAAACCTTAACTAAGTTGATTTTGTACGTATAAGAGATTTTGTATATATCTATTTTTTATCCATTGTTTTTTTTCATTGTATGTACAAATAAAGGTTATTATTATTATAAGATATGAATTATAGTCGGATTATAGGTCATGAAGTACACTTAAATGATCTACAACAACTTATGTTTATTCCATTTATTCAAAAACGTTTCGATCCCTTGTTTTTAACATAAATAATGGGATCCTCTTCAGTTCTGGAAAAACAATACCTATCAATGGTATAACAATTATACATTTCAACAATAAAGTCAAATTTTTCTTACTTTTAATTGAACATCGATAATCCAAGCCGGCCAGCCCCAACAAGGACATCAAGCTACTGAGGGCATAAATTCATATTTACATAAATTCATATAAAATAAGTAGTTTAAAAAAAAAAAACTAAAACTAAATAAATGTAGTATACATTAGAATTTTTAAAATCATTCTTAAAACTGTTTGTGTGAGTTGTTCGATCTAAGATCTGACTGTTCAATCGTACTCATTAATCAAAATCAATCACCAAAAATTTATTATCCTTCTAATCAACGTTATCTCGCCTTCCTTCCTAACTCTTCTCTTAATTTTCTGTTCGAAACAAGATACCTCGATGGAAGAAAATACACCCAGGCCGATGAAACCACGACGGTGTAATGTTCCAGTGGGAGTTAGAAGTTGTGTCAGGTTAGATTTAGTTTGGCTAAGTGGTAAATTGGAGGAATAAGTTGTTAAGGACAAACGATCCTGCAAGCAGGTTAGCCTGCCCTGGTTTTGTTGCTCGGTCTTGGAATAACCGGTCCTCCGATGGTCCACCATGATGGAGTTACCCTAACTCAATAATCTCTTCCCCATTAAACCTCAGATCGAACTTAGTTCTGCTTTTAACTTCATTATGTAACATTACCTGTCAGAGTGTAAGAAAGCCTGTAAGAAAGCTAATCACTCCCGAAAGTTGGGCCGAAACTTGTTGACAACTGTTTTAGGACAAACTCGATTATTTTTAACTTTTGAGACAAGAATTTAATTTAGGCAAGTGCAGTGCAACCGATCTCAAACGAAAACTATAGATCAAGGAATCGCACAAGTCGTTTATCTAATTATTATTTTTATATTAATTGATTTTATAAATAAATAAGGATAATTAAAAGTATTTCAATTTTCGATTGTTCTGAAAAGTTTTTTTTTTTTTTTTGGTTTCCTCCCATTCCTTGCCTTTAAAGCTATACAGGGTTTTCCCGGGCCAGAGGGTGAGAGTGGGGATTCAGAAGACTCCTCCAACACCGGGACATGAACCCGTGACTATTTTTTATCAATGTCATATACATCAGATTGCCGGGCAACTGCGGTGATGTGCACACGCATAAGCCCATTCGGCCATCCCGCCCTTTCTGAAAAGATTAATGATACGTGCATGCAAATTCTCGATTCTCATTCCAAAAAAAAAATAAGAAACTGTTGAAGAGAAAATGGGAGTACAATTTTATGAGATAAAATAATTGTTTCCTCTCAGTGCAAGCATAATCAATTCACACAGAATCAGAGCCCTTGAATAGTGCAGTGAGCAACCCAATCTCTCCAAAATGTTGTTGTTACGTATTTACAAAAAGCAATTTTCTTTTCCAACACATTTATTTTGGTTTCATTATTATCTACATATTAAGATTAATGGTTTGTTGGATAAGAATGAAATCTGCCGAAAAAGTCATTTTTAAAGTATAATATATTCCATGAAAAACGCCTACCTCAGTGGAAGAAATCAAAGAATTTCGATGAAATTGATATTGAACCATGAAAGGTTCTCTCGATTCCGGAAAATTTCATCAGATTGAATTAACAGCAGTAAGTGGTATGAATGTAAGATGGATTCAAATACATCATCGCATGCAGTTTAAGAACTTATAAAATCAAAAATTGCCTTTCCATACCTTCAGATCCTACCCCGTTTCACAATGAGCTCGTATTCTTAACAATTTGGTAGATTAATTAAAATTGTTTAATATAGTTCGATGAAAATGGTGAACTTTCTTTAAACATTGATTAAAAATTCAAAATAAGTCATTTTTGAATAATATTGGTGTGTCTATGGAAACGCATGGGCGTATTTGATAAAACTGATATTGGAGCATTTAGGTATTCAACAGAGATTGTGCTCTGAACATTTCATGAAAAGCTAATCAACGGTAGCAGGTGGTATTCACTGCGCATGAGTTTAATTTAATTTAATCAAAGGGAGGAATCCAATTTGTTCATTAAAAATGGTTTTGAGTTTTAGCAGAAAAGAGGATTTAGTTTTCAGGCATTCTTTCTTTACGAGCATTCTAAAATTAGAATGCTAAAAGTACCAGAAACAGATGAATAAGAATTTCGACTTCAACAGGAGATGATTTAAATTGCTGTAAAAAAATTGCTTGATTAAAAAAAATATCTGTAAGTATACTTGGTTGTCCGTATGAAAAAGATAAATAACAACACATAAAATAACATGAAACGTATTTACAATCTGATGTTGGCCACAAAGAATGAACGAATTCATGTTACCGGATATAAAGTTAATGACTGGCAATTAAAACGAAAAATTTAGTAGGGGGTGCTCCAACTGCAATTCAATCGAGGAACCTTACCAAATTAAACTAGAATGCAACAAGGGTGATAAGTTCCGGAATAAATATCGTCTCTTCCAAAACAATAGCGCTTTCCTCAAAGGTGTGGCTAATCTAGATACAGATATCATTTAGTCATTGTGTAGACTTTTAAAAAATAAAAAAAATTTATATCCATTCCTTCATTATTCAATGGAAGTCTTGAGCCAACATATAAAAAAAAATAGTAAGAATTGTCTATGTTTCGACGGTGAGATCCTGTATTGAATTCACTAAGGAAATATTATGACGGAAAGTTTTAACTTTGACAAAAAAATGAATTGTGTAACTGGAATAAAATAAGTCATGGATAACAAGCGTATTTTCTTTTCTCAAAGGAATTTCCTTTTTTAAAACTTGAATAATAAAATTTCAACTGAAGAAGTAAATAAAATACCATAAAGTAAAATCTATCTTGTATGTGTCATTGTTCGTATATATCGAATTGAAAAAAAAAAAACTATGTTGGAGAGGCAAAAAGTAATCAACAATTGTGTGATTTATAATCGATTCAAATATTGATGTTTAGTGATTTCGAAATTTACAAAATAACATGAAGTAAAATTTCGATGCGAGCCACACCAGAGACATTGAAGAGATACACATATGTCAATTGCAGCTCACAACATATTATGTAAGACATGAATACAGTCTCGATTTATAGCAGTGACCAGGATATAATAGAGCCAACTGTTTCTCTGTAATAGATTGATAGAAAATAAACTTTATTCTGGGACAAGATCCCTTATGAATAACAATTATGAGCAAAAAAATTAAAACCACATCTGACCAAAAATTGCATTAATCAATATTAAAGAATAAATACAGTACCTTCAGTGAAAGTATATTTAAAAAAATAAAAGTAACACCATTTTGAAAAAAATAACATTATTTAAATGAACAGAAAAACAGAAATCAGGTAAAATAAAAAACAAAACAATATAAGCATGAGTTGTTTTTAAAATTTTTAACAATTGTTTTTAAAAACTCAAACAATTTCAACAACCATTCACCTCAGTCAAACTTTGTATCACAATATTTATTTCATTGTACAACGTCATTTTGGGATGTGAGAAAGAATCGGAAGAGATGATATTTGAATGATTACAAGAAAGAGGCATGGCGGATATTAGATGGCAATGAATTCCAGAAGGCAGTGGTTCAGGCAATAAAGGAATATTCAAATGTCTTAGTTCTATGGGAAAGGATATAAAGGTCGGAAACACGGGATCTTAATTTCTGGGATTGGACCACAGGTTTGAACTAAGGGAGACTGTAGATGTAGGAAGGTTGTCAGGTGTTGATCGTTTGGAATAGGAAAGGTATAAGAAAATATTGTCTGCATAAAGTAGGGAAGAGCCACTTAAACTCGCCGTAAAGGTAGGACACATGAGACCGCTTCAAAGTACCGAAGACAAATCTTAAGCAGGAACTCATGAGTCGCTTAAACCTATCCTCTAGTACCATCGGGATGCTTCCGTACACTACACAGCCGTAGTTCAAGGGGGGGGGGAAATAAAATAGGGTACAAGGAGATCGCGGATAGGTTGTGGGAGTAGGTGGCGAGAGCGATGAAATAACTTAAGGATACCTACCGACTTTCGGAAGATGAGGGCGATATGAGATTTCCAGGAGAGCTATTCGTCAATGGTGATTCCTATTGTATAAGCTGTACAACAATATAACAATATTGTATAAGCTGATCCTCCAATGAGCAGTTTAGCATGAACCGGATCACATCACCTTCTAGTTTAACAATAGTTCTGGAAGCAACACTTCTCTGTCACGTCCTTAACTCATAGCCTTTCTATTGTTTTCATAACATATATTTTTTTTAACGTTATTTAGTAACCTTCCTGTGAGAGAAGATTGTATACTTATGACCACTTATTGTTCACCTCCACTAACATATAGTTCTGTGCAGATTCCAGGTAGCGGAGACGTATGGCCAAGAAGAAGCCAGCATACGGCAGACCGCAGCGCTTTGGACTTCCAATGTCTCCGCTTATATCGGCCCGCAGGAGACCTGTATCCACGAAGCCAGAATGGCAGCAGCTTTCAACACTCCTATGATATCTTACGTAAGTCAGTAAAAATATTTCTACGATTGTTATTTTTATTACGATTAAACCTTCGGAAGGAAACAAAAACTATATCTAATCTTAATAAGATCAAAGGAAAGTTTATAAAACGATATGTTTGTAACTATATTTCAATAAATACCACAAGTCCATTGCCTACAATTGGATTTGTTTGTGTTCATTATTTATATTTTTGTTTCAAAGGGTGTGATTTTTAGTTTCGTTTATTACTTATACTTTAAAAAAAATACATTACTTAACAAAACATTATTAACATGAAGCAGTTAGTTCTTTGTCTCATTAGATTCAATATAATTTAATTTAATACGGAGAAGATGGCCTCGAGATATCTTATTGTAAATACACCAGTGGGTAGTTTCTCAACAAGTGATTTCATGTTATTATTTTCTGTTATCAAATTTACTTAATGTATTTTATTTATTAATACAGTTGTAAATATCATGAATAAATAAAAAATTTAACAAAAATCTAATACCGTTACTAAGTACAAAAAATGTTGTTGCAGTTTTGTACGCATTATGAAACCAGTGACAAACGCCAGTTTCCAACATTCGCAAGAACAAGGCCCCCGGATACTCAGATTTCCAAATCAGTAGCAGCTACACTTTTGGCCTTCAATTGGACTCAGGTAAAGGGAATATATTTATAAAATCGTTTAATTGCATTATTATTATATAGTGCGTGTTTTTTTTTTTTTTGTATACATTATATGTATAGATGTCTTTTTTTTTTGCATTATAAACCTTTTAGATCTTTTTATGCTTTATTTTCTACCTAAATTCTATTCAAACTGTCAGGAAATATGTATGTTTGCCGTACTTGCTATGTTTGTAGCTATTATTGCACTGCTAGAATAAAAAATATTACATATTTTGTCTTAGCTGTGCGCACAACTTGCTTATCTTGATCCAGCTTCTACACGTTTCCATACTCTTCTATCCTCTCTCAAGATCTTCCTGATTGAGCTTCTACTCTTCTACCCATTTAGAACTGTGCGGTTCTTATTTCTTCTTCCCACCCGTATACAAAGGTCTCCTAGTATACGTAGATTTTCTATGACCTGCGTAGAATGAGAAATAGCTGTTGGAGATTACTTTCCGTCAGAATGTAAATCCCGGTCTCTTGTCATCTCGGCTCTTGTCATGGATGTTCGAAAGTATTTTCAGACATATCTTGTCCAAGCAACTTTGTTATATTAAGAGGAAAATGTAACCTCGATAAAATATTATTTCTTAGCGGAATGATATGCCAAGTTAAAACTATAAAGACAAAATAAATAATGTAAAACAATATATCGCTGTCGTTAGTTCAAAACATCGTATGTAAGAATTTTACATGTTTATTCTCTTTGAACTATCCTCGGTGAGCTCAGGGGTAAGAGAAAACTTTGGTTGAGCACAGTAGTTCCTGTCATGATATTTGGTTGTGAAATATGAATAATTGACCAGAAGACTTGCCGCTAATTGAGGATAACTGTCAGATGAATAGAGCGATATCTTTTCGGAATAACACGAAGGGATAGAAAAGCGAATAAATGGATCAGAGCTAAGACAGTCAGGAATGAATCTAGACCGGACAGGTAATCAGGAGGAATGATATAACATGGACCAGGCAGTTTATGGTATCCAAGAGATCACTTAAGGAAAAGAGGACGCCCGCCGACAGACTGGGACAAGGAGATGAAGAAGACCTGCGGGAGAGCAGCCTGGAAGAGAGTAGCATTAGAGAGGAATAAGTGGAAACGGATGGCACATGTTCATTACTTAGTGTAGTTTTCAAGAATGCTAGGGAAAAAAAAAAGAAAGACAGAAACATTGAACTCAAAACCTCAACTAAACTGTGTATTCTGTACATAAGAATATTAATTATAAATCAAAGTGTAAAGATTTTGTATATATCTATTTTTTTTTCTTTTTTATGCATTCTATGTACAAATAAAAGTTATTACTATTATTATTATATTCTCTTTGCGCTGAAGATGACATTTTGAAATCTGCATCTGTTTCGCTCGTTTGTGAAAAAAACTCGATTCGGCGCCCTAACAGCTATTAGCGATATATTCACTTAAAGCAATCATTTAGATTCACATTGTAAAAATCTAATTAGTGTCAGCCGTATGAGGCTAGAATATAAATCCCTTCTGAGGCCTCTTTTGGCTGGCCAGAGAATTTGGTTAATGGATGTGGTATAGAGAAAGGAACACGAGAGTAATGAGCTGATCTCGCGCCAAAGCCAGACCGTAATGAAATCGATAATGACTAAGTCCTTTCAATGGCTCATAGATTACACCCGCTCTCTAATAATAAGTCTCAAGTGATGGTTTGTGCCAACTTAATCACCAATCGCCCTCTATATAAGTCAAAAAGCATAATAATTTACCAGAATCCCGTAATTGGATCGAAACCTTAGAATTAGATTTATATTAAGTTGTTTAAAAAATTAATTACCTATTGTATGGAAAAGAATATTTGCAGGTTAGTAGTACTGTCAAATCATGAGTCTAGGAATAGGATAAGTTTCCATTTTATTTCGAATCGTTTTCTATCTCCTTCTCGTTACATAACGCTAAGTTTCAATAACAAGGATGATTATATTATATAATTTCAGAAACATTATATGCATATTTTTTTCCTATATTTGGATTACTAGAATAGGAGAAGGGAACGAATCATGTATGGACTAACTTTATGAATAATCGAAAACGTATTAAAGCTCCTATCTAGTCTCACTGTTGACTCCCGAATCAGCAAAAATGTATCAAAAAGATGGCGATGGCAAACAGATGCCATCCGAAAAAAATCTGTTCTGGTTTGAAAAATCCAAAATAACTTAATCAAAAAGGCATATTAAAGCTATCTTCGATATGTCTGAAAGATGTCGTTTTGGTATCATCAAAAAGATCTTTAAAAAAGATTCATTTATTTACAAGGAAAGATAAACAGAAACTTCTTTGTCGAAAATTAATTAATTTATTTAAAGACATATTAATGAATTGATAAATGTAGGCTTGAAATATCATCAATCTGCAGCCAATCAAAATGATATGAAATGGAATCACTATTTCTCATAGAAAATATAGTTCGATTTTCATTAACTTCGAGATTTAATGAGATTTAAATGAATGATCCGTTGTATAACGTTAGATGACGTTTTTGGAATCTTAAAGGCTCCGTATTAACGTTATTATTTGAATCCAGTCACCGTCGGGACCCAGTCCCTTCAGATTAGTCTTAAAGCAATCTTTCCACCTTCGCTTCATCCTACCCTCGGACAGTTACCAGTCGGCACAAGAAAAATTAAACTTATAGGAATTCTTTTGTTCAATTCGCCACGATGTAATCATCTCAATTATATTAACCGGATACAATCCACCCAATTCGGCGTTGTGTTACCATATAAACTCTCCTTCTTCGGTCCGAATATTTTACGCAATATTTTATTTTTAGATAACCGTAGATAAAACAATGGTTTTATAGATTCTAATTTTTAAAGTTCCGGGACAGGGGATGCAAGCTAAATAGTTTTGTCACAGTAAAATAACAAGATATTTACCGTCTTCAGCCTAACCTTAACCTCTTCTTCAATTTCGTTTTTTCTAGTAATCGTAGATCCTAGATACCAAAACTCCTCTTCTTGTTCGAACATGTTCTTTATCGATATCACCGGCATTATCGCCATGTTTGCAGCTAACCATATATTTTGTCTTATCCTTGTTGATTTCGAGCCCTATTTTTTTCATTAACGGTGTGGAATTTTGTTTGATAGTTTCCATGTCTTCACTTAACAGAACCAAATCATCTGCATAGCCAAGCACGAATGTTGTCCCACCCAGATCCAACACTTTTCCGGTACGCGTTAATTCCCTAATGGTATGTTCTAATGCCAAATTAAACAGGTGAAAGAGACTCACCTAGTTTTAAACCCGAACTAACCTCAAACTTTTCGAATAATTCATTACCAATTCTAACTTTATAGAGTTTTTTAGTCAAACACATCCTAAATAGATTTACTAATTTTTTTGGAATCCTCTACTCAATTAGATTATACAGTTTCTGGCGGTTAATAGAATCCTAAGCTTTATTATTCAATACTTGATATTATTCCTACATAATGGGCACTCTTCTCCCTCACCTCTATCAATGTCTTAATTCTTATTCACCTTCCCGAAAAATAACTCGCAGGTTGTCAGTATATTTGTCAGATGTTAGTAGAGAAGTAGAGTATTTTTTTTTCTTACTCACTCTAAGAAATTTTAATCAACTACTGTATATATACAATTATCTATATATGTGCGATTGTTATAGGTATAAACCAATTCCTATCGCAAATATATATATACATAATTGTATATAAATACAGTAGTTGATTAAAATTTCTTAGGTAGAGTAAGAAAAAAAATAAAAGAAATAGAGTAAAATAATATTCTGATCGGTTATATTAATTTCGAAAAGTCGGTCAATCATGGGTGTGCACCAGTCAATGATGTAAGATATCATGAATGGTTTCGGAAGTTCAATTCAAACTTTTAATATTATTTTTAAAGTTAAAATTGTATTAAAATATCCTTGTAATTCTGAAATAAATATCATAGTGATAAACTGATTTATTAGCTTATATCCATGGCGATTCTAACTACCTACTTTGAGGGAAGAATTTCTTAGTTTAAATACAAAAGTCTATCTCATGGTGCCTTGTTCCTAGATTATCTGTTCATCGTCCGCTTTTCTTGCCGCCTTGGCTTTGTTGTTTTTTGTTACTAGCATAGATTATCTACTTTTGATTATCTTCCCTTAAGCGCTTTTTAGTTGTTAAGTTGAATAAAGCCCAGTTACTTTGAAAAGTATTTATAAAGCTATAAAAAAGTTTCTTAATCTTTTATAGTACATGATTATCATGATTTATTTTTCAAGATTTTTTTATCAGCATATCTTTTTATTGAGTGTATAAATAGATAAATTAAAGAAATTAATTTCCTTCTTTGATTTTATGTCACGTATTACAACCGTAGTGAAGTGGTTGATTTATCATCCTGTGGTGCCTTTAGGACTATTTAAAACTTCCATAACTTTTTTTTTTCAATGTTTTCAGTGGAATATGCAATTAATTAGACTATAAATACATTTTTTTAATATATGTGGTGATTTTTTTATCGTGTAATTTAATATGATCTAACCTTATACAGTTGCTCGTTACTTTTTCACTCTGGCTAAAATAACAATCACTTATAAATGTTGAATTAATTGTGACGATAAGGTACAAACAATATAATAACATTATAAAAAAAAAAATCATCTACAGCAAATTAAATTACCTTAAATAATTGTAAACTATGTACTAACTATTAGCTATTGGCTATCTATCCCAATACGAGTCCATAAAAAAAATTTGGTCATCAACTTATCTTGTGAGACCAAATATCAACCATGCGATAAATTAAATAATTTATATTATTAAATAAATGTGTAGTTAATATAACAAAATACTATAAACAATTATAGCAGAAAAAATAAACTGATAATACAGAGCTCACAATTAACTATAAAATCTTATAGTAACAAATAAGGGATTCGATGCACACTTGGAAAGATATTAACCACTTTTGATATAAAATATACCTGGAACGTTTCATCATCTTCAGTGACATCTAACATCGGTAGCTCTAAACAAGAAAAGATTATCCACGTTTAAATTTAAAAATTTTAAGTTGTAATATAAGTACCCTCAACATCGTATTTGTACTAGACCTTATCCTAGAAAAATGCTCCGAATTTCATCGGAACCTTAAGTTTCACCCAAAGCATCTTGCACAATCCCTATCTAGTACTACCCATCCTATAATCCTTCAAGAAGGTTAAAACGGCAGTGGTCTCTCGACCCTCTGTAGTATCTATACATTGGAGTTCTGGCAATGGCCAGATTCTCCTCTCAAGACGTGAGGGTATGTGGTTAAGGCTCTCTCGCTCAATCTCCACTGGCTTTAGCACTATTGACGCGCTCAGGGATCTCCTGAAGGCCTGTTTTTATTTCTACAGTTGGAGGAACAATCCTGGCTTGGAGTTCCCTAACATGATTTAAATAGTAAATATAGGTATGTTCGTCTTCTTTTTTTTTTTTTATTTACTTCACTTTAATTTATTTTATTTTTATTTATTGTGTATAAATTTTTATTATTATTTAGTTGTTATTTTGCTTCTGCTTATTTTATATTTTCTGTACAAATAATGTTAATTTATTCTTATCTCACTATAATTATTGTCCATGCAAAAGAATATTATATTATTTATAAATAAATAAAATATATATCCGCCCCATTCATTCGCGATAATCATCTGAAATTCGGAAGAAGTTGGCCATTGGGACATCCTAATTTAAAATCATCCTTGAAGTGCTAGAAATCGGCTGTGATTCTTTACAAGATACTATCGCGTTTTATTAATTATAAATCATATTTAAAAATTTTATATATAAATACAGTATTAAATTTCAATAAATAAATAGTAATTTAAGGTAATGACGAACTATACTTCAACTATTTAACTTTATTTTTTGATATGAAATTGCTACACATCCATAATGATTACGTTTCGCTGACTTCTCCGTTTGCAGAACAAAGACATTTCAAATAATTATTTATACATTATTCCTGTTGTCATTAAATTTATGGTCAAAATTATCAATAATTAGTCTAAGCATCATAAAATACAAACATTTAATTAATAAATAAAACGAATAAAGATTTTTATTATATAGAAAAAGGCCTGAAAGGAGTGTTTTTAAATAAATAAAAATTTAAAAAGTTTACTAGTTAACCATCATTTTTAACTATATACGAGGAAGACCATCTTTAAAATATACTAAAAAGAAACATTTTAATTATTTCAAAATCAGCAGTTAAACAACTAAAGAAGATAATATTTCCGCAAGCTGATTACAGAAAATAATCTCTAACGTGGAGGAAATCTTGGGAGACAGGTTGATTAAATGCGGCAATGATCTGATTTGATAGAGATGTGATTACATTAATAGATAAATTAATTAACATCAAAAGTTAGCCCCCAACTCCTGATAACAATCTCGTCAAGTTCCCTTCAACTCGCCCACACCCCAGCCAATCCAAAGAGCACTTCACAAGTCTTGATATCAAGTCGCCTATGATAGCAGCCGAGGGTTCCCTTTGTGCCTTTATACATAAAAGAGAATGTTATCGAATGTCGGGTGGCGGAGTCCCTTTTGAGGTATTGGAGTCGATGAGTCTTGTCGATTCCAAACGACCAAGCAGTTGAATTTTGTTTTCTAAATTTAAAAAAAAAAAATGAATAGAAATAATGTAACTAATCGACTGGATTTTATGGATCAGGATTAATAATTAGATTAACCAATTTAAGCTCAAATTACTAGATTAGATCTAATCCTTGGCATGATTGGGCTATATACGTATAGTCCTGTTTCTATTACGGATCTGTTCGTGTTTCCAGGTCACGTTCTTCTACTTGAATTCCAGTGAGTCGGATATGACTCCTATTGCTGAGACAATTTTGACGACCCTGGATGGCGCAGGAGTGAAGGTCTTGGACGTAGCAACCTGGTCACCAGTTTACCACCACGGCTACATGGACAACCCCTTCACAGCAATGGTTGAGCGGACCTACATGAATACCAGAAGTGAGTAGATAGATAGAGAATGTTTTATAGTATTGTAAAAAAATTAATCTTACTTTAAATGGATCCAGTAGGAGTGCCCAAACTTTTTATAATGCGTACTATAAACAAAGGATTGATTAAATTAAAACGTGTTACGACTAACTATACACTAAACAATCCACCGGGTTCTTGCTTTATTCCGTCTATGGTAGATAATTTTTTTTCTTCTTAATTTCTTTTTTTTAATTATATTACTGAGTTTCGTGTCTAAGACAAAATTTGGAAAGTTCTTAGAATGCAACGTTACTGATCAACGCTATTTTCTTTCTACAATTTTATATTTGTAGTACGAAGTAGAAGTAACTAAGCGATATTGCTTGCTGTCCCATTGGCTGTTATACTTTTAAGATACTGGGATCATTATATAAATATCCAACGTCAAAATAGTTCAGTCCATTTTTCTCATCTGTATCTTAGTCGATTTTCTTTTTTTGTATAGTAACTATTAACTAATTTTAATGTTTTAAATCGTTTTATAAAAAGGAATTGGTGACTGTAACTAACAATATAATTGTTGGTTTGTTCAAAAGCTAATCTCTGAATGTTCTATACTGATCATAAGACTAGAAAAAGATGTTGGAAATATGCAAATTAACTTATATTTTCTTCAAATGTTGAATAATGATAATGGTCTAATTTCCATCTTTGGATGGACACTAGTAAATTTAAATAATTTACTTACTTCTGCTAGTGTGAGTGCAATCCAAATATTCCAGCAAAAAATAACGCTAGAGCTTTAGATGAAAATTAATTATGGAGTTATATCATCGGCCGGTCATGTAAAGATGAGTTCACAGAGAGGACTTGTTTCACTTATCTTAGGTCACGGTAGGAGATCTCACACCCAGCACATTTTTAAACTCCTCTTAGGGCGCATCCATTTCTTGAAATCCTTTTCAGAATGTAGGATTTGGTTAATCATATATTACTGATTTGTTTCCACTTGTAATACAATTAAATAAAAAATTTATAGTTTTTGATAAGTTAGACTATTTGACTACATCGTGCATCTGTGAGTAGTTTGTCTGTATAGGTTTAAGTAATAATATATACGTATTAATTCTAACAAAGTTTCAATTTTAAAAATTTGGAAAAAATGGAATGGTTTGAATCATTTCTAATTTCTTCGATTTCGTTTTAACACAAGGCTCTCAACTCATTCTACCTTTGAAATTAAGTCTGAGGTAGGGAAAGTTCAGATATCAGCGTCAATTCCATCGATGGAATAAATCTATCGATTTAATTTGGCACCTACTGGATTCAGCAGAAGGTTAATACCCCCGGATAAGGAATTACCTTCCTGCTGTATTGTAGAATTTCAAAACTGAAAAAATATGGAGAGAAAGTAATCAATATAAATATACAAAGTAATAGAGAAATTACAACACAGAGATTATAATTAGGGCACATCGAGCGGTGATTCAGTCGATGAACAAAGGAACACGATGGATTAAGTTAATGGTTTCCATTGATCAGTTTAGAAAATGTCAGATGGATTTCTGATACCATCGATGAGACCAGCACCGAGTTCAGGAACTTACTCGTAGCTTGGTAAACAGTTTCTCTCTGAGGAAATGATTTGTAGAAATAAACCTTGAGTCACATTTTTTAATGTCAGTACCATTTGAGGTAAATTAAGTAAGTGATTTAATAAAGTTAGTGAGACCTATTGTAGAATCATTGTGTTTTGAGCGAATGGTAGCGTTATGTCGTGTGTACGTAAAATAATGGTGTATTCTTAAGGCTATATTGATCCTAACTACTTACCAACTTTTATTTCCTCATAGGTGGTATTGTGGCATTTATTATTATGTAGATGTTTCCTGATGGATTGCTTGGAGCTACATGCCCCGCCATCTTAGCCTCTTTGCCTTTATATCATGAGACGTAGAATGACTATTTTATGTAAATTCTTCAGGTTGGCACATGTCTTCTCTGTTCCTTGTTGTCTTTTGATTGTTAAGATGCTGGAAATGTTCTTTCTAGATGCTTATTATCTATTATATTAATTATGTCAGTTTTCCACTTTTTTCTAGCATTTTTTGTGTTTCTCGCCATATGTCCTACTTGTTCTTTCTTTGTTGTAAACTTACACTGTTATATTGTTTCATTGAAATGTTTATTTTTAAAATCTCTACATAGTATTGTTACAATCTATAATTACAGTTATGAACGATCATTTTTTGTTCTTCTTTTTTTTCTTTAATCTCCACCTGCCAACTGCAAGAGGCATATTAGAAATCAACTGCAGTATTAGAAATCAGCTTTAATTTATTTTCTTCTATGTGACAACGAGAACAGCGTTAAATTTTAGATGTTACTGTTTGGAAATAATAAACCATTGTGAAATAATTGGCAGCGTTTTTCAAACTGTTCAAATTTATAATAAACAATAAAAATCAAGTAAAATGAATCTTCACGGGTCTTAAACGGAAGTTAAGCGGAATATGAGCGTGATTAGATCTAAGATTACTTACTTTATTGAGCCCTTATAGTGTATATTTATAATATTAACACCCCCCCGCTCAAATAGAATTCTGAACTTGGCCAGTTGTGGCCTAACGTGGATTAACCAGTACAAGGAACACGATTTGACCTTTAGCTTCGTTACTAACTTCATCGTTAGACATGTGGCTTAGAACAACTAAATGTTGGCTAAACTTTATGAAGTTACCACCGGATATAACTCACTTAACTAGTTTGCTTGATCTCTAACCAATTATAAAGGATGTAGGCAGTATGGGAATATGGAATTACAGGGAAAATTAACCCATAGAATAATAATGAAAAGGCTTTATGGAATCAATACAACAAATACTATTAATATTGCAAACTCTATTATAGACAATGATTTCGTCACTTGTGATTTTTTTTTAATGCAAACCATTTGTAATAATTAATATCTTTAATTATTTAACACTTCTTTTTAGTTAAATTGTTTTTTTTTTCCCCTATAGTATATCTGATACTTGGTCAGTACTACGAACACTTAGGACTGCTTGTCGCCCTCGAGGAGAAGAATTTATTTGATAAAGGTAATTATTACATACAATTGCATTGGACATAAATAGATATAATCTATTCACGCGTAGGTGTGTGCCCTAAGGTCAGTTTGATAAAAATCAAAATTAGCATTTGATAGTTATTTATTGAACGTTTCAAGGAATCTATGACCCTTTGTTCATCAATCTAAAAAATATAACCAATATATATTAGGTTCACCTCATCATTGTGACTTACCCAATTTTTGGGAGAGTAAAATGTAAGTTACCTATATATTTTTTAACAAATTTTCTTAAATACATTTATATTTATTTAAAAAATTGTTTTAGGTGTATTTTATTTAACAATGACTGGTTTTTTAAATTGAACCTAAAGTATATTGGTTGTATTTTTTAGATTGCTGAAGAGAGGGATACAGATTTCCTAAAACGTTTAATAAATGACTCTCAAAACCTAATTTCCATTTTTATTTGATTTTTTCAATTGTTTATTGAGAAATATTACAATCTGTCACATTTAAGGGCAATAATAGTATTGATAGAAGATTAACTCATTCACGCTATGTACAATAAATTAAAAAAATATAAACAGCAAAATAGTAGTACTAAATGTAAATATATATACACTTAAAGTAGTCAAAATACGAACATACCAACTAAACTAATCAAAATAACTCATTAAATACGCACAATTTTTATTAAATTGACCTTAAGCCAAACACTTTAATGTGAATAGAAATAAAAATATAAAGGTCAAAATAAAAAAAAATGGAATAAATATTGTATAAAAGATTTATTTCAGTTTAAGCATTACCTCATATTTTATGTTGTGTATTTGTGTTAAGATGGAAAAATATTATTTTTTTTTTAAATCATCTTTAAATTGTATATTATTACTTATCTTTTTTTTTTTAATCTTTAATTTAGTATTTTAGTGTCATTTTTATGCGATGATAAGAATTTCCTAATTTCCTAAAGAAACTTTCCTGCTTCTTACGGCATTTTTACTTATTCTTACCTTTTGGAATAACTTTATTAAATTAATAGCATATGAAATTTTGAATTTCATTTATTTACTTATCTGTTTATCATTTCTATTATGTTTACATAATTGTATATTAACTTTTTTATTATTATTTTATTAATTGTTATTTATTTTTATAATCGAATTAGCTCAAAACTTAATGCACGTGTTTAAGTTTTTATTTTGATTAGTTTAGTTTATTTTGTTTATAAACATTTACTTTTAGTATTATTTTTTTATTGTAATTAGAGGGTCAATGTGCTCTCTGAGTACTTTTATAAATGCCCTTCATCATGGCAGATTGTAATACTTCTTAGTAAATAAGTTAAAATATTTTAAGTTAATATTTTTAAAAATTATTTTCAATATTGTATCTATACTTAAATACACTCCTAAAGCCTTTACATTGGGCCTCTACTTTTTTCTAATTTATTTTTTATTTAATTCCTTTATTTGTCAAATTTAATAGCACGTATTTCATTTAAAATATTTTTTTACAATACTAAATGATCAATTATTGAACTTTACATAATACTTACATGAGTACTTCACTCCTTCATGCCATTATCCCTAAAGTTACTTATCTAATTTACTGACTGTTAATATGATTGATAATAGGAGTAAATAAATAATTCAAGTAAAATTTTATATAATGAAATGATTATATAGTTAATAAATATATTTAAATAATTAAAATATACAACAGTAAACATTTGATGTGTAACGGCGCACAGTGATACTATTCCCGCCTGATTGTTCAGTATTGCAGGTTTGCCTATAGGACAATATCAGGCGTATGCTTGTTGATAAATCGTTCTGTTTAGTTATTTTTGTTTTTATAGCTGTTTGATTTTTTTATCTCATATTCGAAAAAATATTTTTCCATAGTACAGATTACTATATTTCTGCATATCATATTTATCTTGATTTAACATGCTCCTGACTTTCCTTTGTCTAATATACAAGAAAAAAACTAAGTCTAGATCTGTTAAAAAAAAAAAAAAAAAATCTTAACTACTCATGTGATAAATTTCTACTTTAAGGAAATTTGTTTAATTTTACATTATATATGGTACTGATGAACAAACCAAATAGTACTTTTATTCATATTAATTTTTCTAAGTGTTTTCTAAAAAAAAGTCTGATGTACTAAATAATATTTCTATATATATATATATATATATATATATATATATATATATATATATATAACTTCTGTCTAAAATATATATATATATATATATATATATATATATATATATATATATATATATATATATATATATATATATATATATATATATATATATATATTTTAAGGAACTAGAAAAATAATAATAAATGAAATTAGTTAATTTTTAAAATTTCAATTGCAACATCTTCAGTTTTTTGTATTGTTGAAGGACTAAATAACTTTCTTGTTTGAAAAAATGTCTTCAATTAAATCATTGTCATTTTCATTTTGTATATGGCAAAGCCCTAACTGCGTTTCGAGATATCTTATATAAAATCAGATATTTCGCATTGTTTTTTTTTAATCTAATCATCTATAACAGAAACAAAAACAAATTGTCATATTTTATTTATAAAGAAACTGAGTTTCAAAAGATCAAATTATTAACTACTTTTAAAAAAAAAAATTTAATCCAGTTCAAAACTTGTTAAACCTATTTAGATAATTATCATTTCTTGATGAAAGTATGAATATTTTACTTGTCCCTGTTTAACAAATTCGCTACCTAGGATTGCCATCGGAAAAACATCTTACTTGGAATCCGCAAAAAAACTGAAACGACAAGAAATTGCTCGACGTTTTTAGCTGCTCAAACAATCACTAGACACTCAATCTAAAATTTCAATTAATTACTTATAATTAGTATTAATTAAATGAAAATCTATTTAGACTAACGGAGTTGAACTTTGGGGTCCACTAAATCATCGAATCCTATCGTTTACAATCCTTAAAATACTAAATCCTTCGTAAAATATTTAATACTTTGTCACAAATGAAACCATTAATAAATATCATAGTGTTCCATAAGTCGCTAATTTAGCCCGAGCCAGACATCAATCCTTTCATGATAAACTTCTTTCACACCCGAATCCAATAGTTTTCATCCTTGCTTCTTCCTCTTCTCCTGATAATTTTCCTAGGTGTCTGAAAAATCTTCTTACTTTGAACTATTAAGGTAGTTCTACCATTGTGTAGTGTCTCCACAAGCCTGTTCATTTCTATAGAACACTTATAAGTTTATGTCCAACCACAGTCTATAAATGCAATATTTTATGCATTTCTCCATCTGTCATCCTGGCAATATGCCCTGCATATCTTAAGCGCCTCAACCTCATTGCTTTCACATCAGTTTTTCGAAAGCATTGTAAAGGTTCTGGTTCATACACGCCGCTTCCACTCCAATCCAACTTTCCCTCCTACAAAAACACAGAGGAAAACTTTAAAATATAACGTCAAAAAAATATCTTTTTAGAAAAATATTTTTGATAAAATTAATAAAAGTGGTATTGAAGTTATATTTAGACGTTTAAATTAAAATAAAATATCTAGTATATAATAAAATGTATACGGAACGATTAAAGTAACTCAGAGATTTAAATACCTTGGAGAAATCATGCAGCAATGAGTCAAAAAGAGAAGGGTTTAAGAAAAGAATCGCCAAAATAGAGAAATTAAGCTTCGACACCAGTGAGCTTTATAAAAAGAAGAACTTGTCTCAAAAAGCCAGAATACAACATTATAACACGGTCGTCAAGCCAGTGTTACTCTATGACACAGAAACTTCTTGTCTTCTCAGCCTCGAGAGCCTTCTGAATATAGAAAGAAGAATTCTCAGAAGAATCTACGGACTTAAGAGAACACCGGAAGGGTACAGGATTGAGGTCAAATAAGGAAATATACCAGGAAAAAACAGATCTAGAAACTGACGCTAGGATGGGAAGGCTGAGTTTCTATGGCCATATGATGAGGATGAATCCTAAAAGACTTAACCATAAAATCCATCAGCGCATCCACAGTCATAAAAATTTAAGCGGGTATTTTAAATAGCTTAAGGATGATATGGACCAAGTGGGGCTAAGAGAGTAAGATTGTTTGGACAGATGAACCATTGGCAACGCTGTGGGCCAAGGGAGCATCGATTGGAAGCCATACCTAGCGTTTTAGCCTTAACCGGCTTCCAACCTAACTCCCCGGACCGGGTACGCCACAAAGAATGCAGGCTCACAACCGGAGCCCACGGAATAAGACAACTCCTACTACCATAACTTCCGTCCACTCGCTACACACTGTACCAGAAGATAGCCTGAACAACGCCAAGACCATCTGTACACTGGTGTCGTGCAGCGAGTAGTCGTAAACACAACGACCACTACGACCGCCACGGCCGAACAGTGCAAGCACTCTCGCCGTCCACCCATAGCGCCGCCGGGGCTCCGGCGACGCCCCGTAGTACCAATTTGATCGGGAAGCTGCTTCCCTGACCTCAGAGCACGATTGGTCTCAGGCTCCGCAATCAGTAGATCGCTACGGCTTTACATTGCCTGCCGATGTACAGGAGGATGCCTGCACCTCCGCAGCCAATGAGGGACACGACTCAAACCTAAGGGTTCGAGACGATGACCGTCCCCGTAGATTTTTTGGACAGATATGATTATAGGAAGGCGCTCCAGGGAATATCGGTTCTTGCGGGAAAGAAGCGCACTAAAAAGAGCACGCGGAACTCATGATGGCCATATGGGAGAAGAGGAGGCAGATGAAGAGAAAGCATTAAATTCATGATATTCACGTGGTCTTTAAGGCCTGTTCGCGGGAAAAAAATGTATTTATTTATTTTCAATCAATTCTTGTATTAATTATTTTTTTATATATTTAGATCCCTGAAACCATCGCATTCCCACCGATATTTGCTTACAATCCAAAATCCTTCGTAAAATCCTCAACGCTCCTTACTTTCTCACAAATAAAATCATTCATAAAGACCTTAATGTTCCATATGTTTCCGATTTGGCCCAATCCGGATACCTATTCTTCCACAACAAACTCTAGAACCATCCAAACCTTGCTTCCTCCTCGATCGCTGATAACCCTCCGAGGCGTCTGAAAAGAAGATGGCCTCGTGATCTACTTATGTAAATATATTATTAGAGTGCAACCAATGGGTAGTTTCTCAACAAGAGTTTTCGTGTGACTGCGTTATTACTGTGTGCACATTAACTAGTTGTATTTTTTTTTATAATACAGTTGTAAAAATCATTGAATAAAAAAAAAAAAAAGATCCCTACATCTTAGCAGACATTTATTTATTGTTTTATTTCTCACTACAGAATGTAGGGATGCTTTTGTATTTCAAATACAAGGCTAGTGTTTCTATTAGTTGCATAAATATTTTATATATTTGATTGCAGGGGAGTATTGGGTGGTGGGGGTGGACATCGACCAGTACGACGAGCAGCAGCCGGACAAATACCTCCAAGGACTGCTCCAAGATGAAGCGGACCCAAGGGCCATCCGGGGCTTCAGGTGCTATCTCGGGGTCACCCCCAGCCCGTCGAGGGGCTTCCACAACTTCACCAAGCTGGTCAACAGCTACATGGAAGGACCGCCCTTCAACTACCCTAATCCTGTCAGGTCCATTGGAGGGGTCAAAACGGTACGTTAAGACGCCTGTCTATTTTATAAATATTTTTAATATAAACTATTATTGGAAGATCCTAAAGCAAAAGGTTTAGTATCTAAAATAGTTTTCTCTAGTTATACCTATTCAAAAACCAGCAGATCAACTTCAGAGCTAAAATCAACTATAATGTTGTCTTAGCCTTGACAGTTTAATTGATATAGTCCGTGGTACATACCACTTTTTATCAAATAATTAACATAAGACTAAAACTAAAATAACCTGAAACATCGTGAATAGCTTCACCTCATTGTAACCTACAATTTTTTATATAGGAAAATTCTCGGAATTGGAGCGTTTTCAATCTGAAGATCAGCGATTGTTATTTATTTAATCAGGTATTAAAAACTCGTTATCTTTCCGTTGAAACAGAGGAAAATTTGAATGAAGATAGTTTACAAAAATTATAGGATGTTTGAAGTAATCTTTATACCCCAACATGTCAAAATAACAAGGTTATACAGGCCAAAGAGACCAATATTTTTGTAGGTTACCTTTTTTTTTTATTCGAGTTTGTGATCAAATTATGTTCCGATTCAAGTGGAAAGTAAATGGGTATTTATGACTTTTTATGGCCTACTTAAATTAATTAGCTTTATGAGAAAATTAAACATTTGCTACAGGAGTCTGTACCATGGACTAAAATAAACTGACCAATCATACATCACTCTTAAACAGTGTATGCTATTACATTTCGCGGTACAGACCCCTTGTATTAACATTCGTCTAAAACTTCGCGAATCTTACCCTAAGCTATTACTTTTTTTTATCTACGAAAATTCTCAAAAATGGCGTTTTATCTTTAAATTACTTAATCTGCTGAGGTACTAAAAACTCATGAATATCCATTTATCCTCCACTCGATTCGTAGAATAATTTGTTCAAAAAAGCCATTAAAATGTTGGGCCGTTTGGCCTACGTAACCTTGTTATTTTGACATGTTGGGGAGGTCACGCCAAACGGCCCAATATTTTTGTCTCACTTTTTTTCTCGATTTTCCGATCAAATTGTCTTACGATTCAAGTGTAAATCAAATTCACATGAGATTTCAGTAGCCGATTGGATATACAAAATTCATTGCTTTGCTTATTCAAAACACTCAATTTCTGGGAGTTTTCGAAAATAAAAAGTTGTATTTTACTATAAGATGAAGCAATCCACGATGCTTTAGACAAGTGTTAGTAATTTGAAAAAAAAAATGCATTTACCCCCCGTGAAAAAATAACTACTGGTCCCTTTATGAATTACCAAATTTAATAAGCCGTAATGAAAAAGTATCTTTAAGCAATTTAAAAATTTGAGATATTTAAAATCTTTAAGTTAATGTGCGATTATGATTTTCTAATGTTACTGTGGTTGATAATCATAGTAATGGGTTCTGTTATGATAGGATTATGTTACTTGATGTGTGTGCATTCTGATTTTCTAATTTTGGAATTTTAGCAATCGAATATCTTTTTTATTATTTTTTTTTCTATAAATGTCAGAGATTGTCTTGTATCGGTTTTACCGAAATACACATATTGGATAATTGTAATTATATTGGTATAGTTAGGATTAGTTTATATGTTGAGTGATATGAAAAAGAATTTGTATAGATATAAAAATATGTGATTTAAGTATGATTAAGTGCTATTTCCAAAAAAAAAAAAAAAAAAAGATTGATGAATATGCTTTGTATCAATCAACCCTATATAACAGGGCAGCACGGCTTTAAATAAAGTATTTCTCTCTAGATGTGCCCATAAATTTAAAGTTGATGTTAAAAAAATAGAGGTTCCAGTATTATTCTAAATTTAGTTCCTCGCTGGAAATAGACCTTGAAGAGTAAATTCCTGAAGTTAAACTTCACTTTGTTGAATAAGTTTCTAGAAAATACTTAATATTCTCAAATAAACAAACCCTTCAGATGGAGATTAAATTAGAAAAGTTTGAAGGATTTATTGGTTGGTGAATCTAATAATAGCAATTGTCTTGTAAAACTTCGCAACTATTCGTCTTAATGTTATGAACAAAGTTTGACTTAATCCAAGTTCTGTTCATCTCGATTAATATGATGGAATAATGCCAGTTGTTATGTTTTTGGCAGATCAGAGCGGAGGCAGCTTACCTCTACGACGCGGTGCAGCTCTACGTCCAGGCGGTGGTCGAGGCACTGGACAGTGGTGAGGACCACCGCAACGGCACGGCCATCATTGCCAGGCTTAAGAGGAGGCACTACCACAGCGCCATGGGGTCAGCATGATATAATATTTAATATAGAAAAATAGGAAGTAGTTGACCAACACGAATAATTATATAGTATATAGCTCAATCCATAAATGATAATTCAATCAGGAAATAAGTTAATCCAATGTATTAGATCTGGTATTTCTAGACTATACATTCCTAGTGTAACAAGATCCAGAAAATTGGATATTTTTTTTTTGTTCATAAAGTTAGAAACTAGTTCATAAAGTTAGTTTCTCTCTTAGGAAAGCCTCATGTCCACCCATAACGATTGCCTATAATCCAGTACCTTCAAAGAACTATGTACGGTACCTTGGATTCTACTTAGACAAAAGACATACTTGGAACATGCATATGAAATTAAAAAGACAAGATCTTACTAGACGATATAGTCAACTTTCACATCTTCTGGACTACAGATCTTCACTTACCTTACGAAATAAGCGACTGATCTACAACACCTTACTGAGACCAATATGGACATATGGAGCAGAACTTTGGGGTTCAGCAAAACAAACAAACATAAACAAAACACAAACAACACAATAAAAATGTTACGAAAAATTGTTAACTCACCTTGGTACATTTCAAATACTACTATACACACCCTATACTACATAACGACTTAAACACCCCAACAGTAAAATCCTACATCCACGACAAATGCAGTACATTTCATTCTTCAATCTAAAATCATTCCAATTCTCTGGTTCTTTCTATCTCCTGCTCTCCGTTACCTGAACAACGCAGATTAAGAAGAAAATGGCCAAGAGACCTACTATATCAATAAAAACCAAATCAAGCTAATACACCAAGACAGTACAAACACAACAAACAGTACAAACAAACGCAGCCGCGCAGGTGCAAATTGCATAAAATATAAATAAATAAAATAAAATAAAGTTAGAAGAGAAGAAACCAAGGAGGTGTTGCCTTCATTGTATAAACTCTCACTTTAAATCCTGGCGAAAGATCTAAAAGTACTTTTTGATTCCATTGCAATTGATTTTAGGAAAATTCTTACAAATCCTCAACAACCGTCTCCTCAACAAATCAAGGCTTCTCCAGGAAAATTTCTTTAGTCGAAAGATATTTTAATAGGCTTCAGCTTTCATGTCGAATTGATTACTTAAATTTCGCATGTGACCATTCCATTCCATTGGTTCATGATAATGGATCTGAGACTCCGATCGGAAGGATTGGTTCTCCTTCATAACCAGGTCTACTTGTTGTCCGATTGTTCTTGACATGCTCTCGAATCAGCACATCAGCTCTCACTATCGAGCTCTTTGTCTTAATTTGTTTTATGTAGTGCGTGGAAAGACGATTAAAAAAACTTTTAAATTTCCTGAGATATGTTGCAGGTAATTTGCGTATAACTCATGGCTCTTCCTACCACAAATAGTTCTTTTAGTTTGTTCTATGTATTTTTTATGTCTACTTGCAAACGATACAACATTCTCACAAAACATAAAGACCCTACACGGGCCTCACTAACTCTACATCACTTACTTGAATTACATGATTGGTTCGAACTATCAACAATTCGATTAAATTATGACAAATTGAAACATATAACCTATATTCTTCGAAAAAAACACTTGCCCTCGAGTTTATATTGTCTACAATCAAATTCCTCAAAGGGACAAAGTACTTTATCTTGGACTCACCTTCGACAGAAGGATGACATGGAGCCCGCATGTAAAAATGAAACGTAAGAAACTTATCAGACAGTAAATTAATACTTATACATACTTACTTAAGTCCATATGGACATACTCATCACAAATATACGGCATCGCTAAAAAGACCCACCTAAGAACACTTCAAACGTTCCAATCAAAATTATTACGATTCATAACAAAAGCACCTTGGTATGTGACTAACAAAACTCTACATAATGACCTCCACTTTCCAACAGTTGACATATAAAGACCCTTTGACAACGATTTTACACTGATTTAAACGGACATTATGACATAATAATAAGAGACATAACCACAACTGGAAATGGCGTTGGATGGAGATATCCTTCCTTGAACAACCTAAGTAATTCAAAACAGGTCAGGGAAGAGTTCTGCTGAGTACTTCCCTTCCCCATACCTGACATTTCATATTCTTCCTGTATCTCCAGCACATTTGCTGATTGTCAACAAACGTTGCCTGGCGCAAATGCATTTTTATAGAGAAAAAGAAAAAGAATAAAAGGTTTTTCTTCAGCTATTATAAAATCTACAAATAAGCCTCTTACTGAGTATCTCTACAGGCCGAAGTGGGTCTTGGCTTCTATGAGAGCCTTTCTTCAATCTTCTCTGTTTCTCGGTCTTTGTCACTCCCAGTTCGATAGGTCTTCCTCAACGTCCTGCTCGTTCTCTTACCTCTTCTCTTTCCGACATCATGCAGCATTCAGCGAGGCGTCCAGTTATTCGACATCCGTCTTACATGGCCTAGCAATTTAATACGATGAGGCACGTTAAACCGTACGACGTTTGTACCCTAAAGAGTTAGTTGAGCTCATTTTTCTTGCGAAATCTTCATAGCTTTAAATTTAGTTCGAAAACTGCAATGTAAAGTTTTCTAAGGATCTTCCGTTAAAATACATTCAGGCTCTTTGTCATCAGAGCAGTGAGGATCCAGATTTCAGCAACATATGTTAAATAGGGCCATACCAATGTTTCATATAGCCTAGCTTTACAGGTCAGTGACAGATGTGAGGTCATAAAAAATTTTAGATTAGCGCGCTTCTCTTTACTTCGTTTAATATCAAATTTTTCGTTATGTAGTTCGGACCTGACGTAAATGAACCTGCTTACACTCTCAAAATCATAACAATTTTTCAAATAGTGTTGTATTACTGTACCAATTTTCTTCCAAAATAGTTTTCGTTTTTTTTTATGTGTTCGTTAGGAAAAACAACCCCAAGAAAGAAGATTTATTGTCTTTGAAAATCGATCAAACTATTCATTACTAATATCAATCGGATTCGAGGCTTCGGACTTTTTGCTATTATTAACTACCATGGCTTTTGTGCAATCTCTTAAAACCTTTTTTTTACCTCCTAGAAGCTAAAATATGCATATTAACCAGATAAAACTTGGGATTATAATAAGGTCCAAGAAAGTGGCAAACTATTCATTACTAATATCAATCGGGTTCGAGGCTTCGGACTTTTTGCTATTATTAACTACCATGGCTTTTGTACAATCTCTTAAAACCTTTATTTTTACCTCCTAGAAGCTAAAATATGCATATCAACCAGATAAAACTTGGGATTATGATAAGGTCCAAGAAAGTGGCACACATAATTCCTATTTTCATCGATGTATAAATAATAATAATAATTTTACAATGCATTTTGGAAACTACATTTTATATTACAATATTATATTATAAAATAGTATATTTTACATCGCAAAGTTTATTTTAACAGTTTTTAAAAAATCGACCATTTAAGACGTTGTGTCAGATGTTAAAAATAGTAAACTAATAAATATAATTTTAAAATTACTACTTGCCATGTGGGCTAACAGCCGGGACATGTTTTTTTTTTTAATTGAATGATATCTTTATTGCAAAATAATTAGACAAATTTTTCTTTAATCATACTTTTTTGAAATATTTTTTCTTTAATATAGTAAATCGAATTTACTTTCAATAAATAATTACAATTTATTAGCGAGACCGAGAGTATATATTTTACGTATCATACTTGTTTTCACGAGTGCCTAATATATATATACAAAACCGAAATATTATTCAACTCATCATTAGAAACAATGAACACGATGACAGAAATAGATAAAAATAATTAAACTGGGTCAGTATAGGACTTCTGTGGGAGTCTTCGCCCGACGAAAAAATAAATAAATAAATAGAAAAAATGATTTTAAAAAAAACTTGTTTAAATTGAAAATGGAAGTACCTTTATTGTTTTTTTCGAATCTTCAAAATTAAACTCGCTCCGGCCCTACACCAGGATATTACAAAGTAAGTCGAATTGACAACCTTCTCTTTTGAAGTAAGGTAAAAATAACTCCATATTGGACACTTATCTTTCTAAATTAAAGTATATTCCCATTTTTATATCTAAATAGTAATTACATGGTATTAAATATTCACCGCTGAGCCAGAAATTCCCAAACGATATTAGAGAGACAAAAATCCCAACTGAGCTATCTAACAAATCAGCCTCGGTGGCAGTTAATTCCCATCGGATCCCGTCCTATCTCACCCTATTTATCCCTCATCTAAAATAAACAACCCAATTCATCTTATATTTATTTACTGGCAATTAATGCTCATTCATAAATCCCCCATCTCTTATTCAATTATTTAAAAAGTGATAAAAGACAAATTGTATTATTTGTTGGTATAATTCTTTAAAACGACATTCATACCATCACATTTAATATAAGGTAGTGTTGTTGAGATAAGCTAATCAACAAATTATTTTATTTTTAGTTGTTTTTTTAATTCATTTAAAATATTTAGATGCTCTTTATTAAGTACACTGATGAGTTTGGCGAATTGGTTAATTTCAAATGATTAATTTTTTTTAAATTATTTCTCAATGATATTTACAACTGTATTGAATAAATACATGTAGTAAATTTGAACATAATGGATATAATGGAATTTTGGAATTAACACGTAACTGCCCAATGGTACCACTCTAATGATATTACATTAGGAGCTCACTGGGCCTCGGAGGATTATCAGAAATTGAAGACGTTAGAAACGAGAGGGTTGGGATGATTCTGAAGTTTATTGTGGAAGGATAGGTATCTGGATTGGGCCAGATCTGAAACAAAAGAAAAATTAAGGTTATTATGGATCGTTTTATTTGTAACAAATTAGGGAGCATTGAGGATTTTGGATTGTAAGGATTGTATACGAGAGGAATTCGATGGTTTAGCGGAGCCCCATAGCTCAACTCCGTAAGTCCAAATATATTATTATAGTCAAGTATATGAGTCTTTTGTAATTAATTTGAAGTTTAGAGCGTT